GTGACGCCCTTCGTTTCGGAACTGATGGCAGCTCCACGCTCCCAAGAATCCTCACCTCCTCTCCTTCTAGACAGCGGAGAACCAACAGACCTTCGGGACAGAAGTTTGCGATAAAGACTCCTTTCCACGCTTACCTTCTGAGGTTCAGTGCAGCCATGATGGCCTGCCTGCAGGGTTCTCGCTGGGGTCACTCCCTAGAGCTGCTGCGAACGCTGCCTGTCCGGCCCTCGGCAACTGGATCTTCACTGTGGAGGTTCAACTCTAACGGCTCCACACGAGGCCACTCATGTCGCAGCGCCGGACCGAACCCGACCCGAACCCGAACTCGGACCTGGATCCAGGGCGATGGCATATGGAGCAGATCCCCGAGCCCCAAGCAGGCAACGCTCGAGACCTTCACTTGACGCCCCAGGCCCTCACGGCCTTCTGCGTGCGGACAACTTAAAACATTCCTGAGACCAAGCAATTTCTGGTGCAGTAAGTCAACGCGGATCTTTGTAAGCAACCCCAAACAATGGCCATAAGATCCGAAATCAACCTAAAACATCTCTTATGGCCTAACCCCCATTCATCCCCCCCTCCCCACAAAAAAGAGACCAAAGCCCACACTTCAGAGCCAACTCCCAGGCCCGGAGCCTTCACCCGGACCTCGTCGTGGCCAACTCGGCGCTCGCCGCGGCGGCCCTCGGCTCGGAGTGGCGAGGCACGTTTCGAAAGGGCCATGAAAAGGGGGGGGGGAGGGGCTCAGTGGATTCAGGGATGTAGGGCGTAGGGCGTAGGGGTTGGGGACTTTAAGACTGGGTCGGGCTGGAAGCACTCCTTCAGAGCGATAGAAAGTCAGGACTAGCTCACGTTTACGCTTGTTTCTACGCGACCCCTTGGGCTGGGCGTGGAAGGCGCTCTGGTGCTGCTCAGCGAGATGGCTTTGCTGCAGGCAGAGACTGGACTAGGTCTGTGGTGAGGTGGTTTCTGCTTCAGACGTGCCTGTGGCTGCTATTTGCATCACGAAAGACAGTACGACTCGGCAATCAAATTCGGAGCGCGATGGTGTCGACATTCTACCAAAAACGTGAGCAACAAGAAGCAATAAGAAGTCCGAAGAAATACCATAGTCATAATTTCAATCGTACTTAATATCAGAACCATAAAAACTATTCAACTATATCGTTTATAGTAGTTCGGTTTTATTCTTTTCAATCAAAGACCGGTGGCCGTCCCTGAGGTCCGTCGAGATGCGGTGAGTTACAGCTGCGCCCTCTGCGCATGCACCTCGAATGCTTTAGGAGAAAGATTTTTGGTACCATTTGAGAGCCAAGCACCACATCTTGTCAGGGACGGCTTTAGATTCCCGTAAGTACACACGTATATCAACATGTCTTGAGTCCCGTCGTGCAGTTGGTTTAGTTTTCACAACAAGATAGGTAGGTCAGTAGCATCTACACAAACGTGTCTACCATCTGATGTTCCAATCTGCCTGTCCGTCTAACTATCTATCCATCTGTCTATCTACCTGTCT